AGAGCGCGGGAGGGCCCGGGGCTCCCGTCAGCCCCGAGTCCTTTGCATAAAGCCCCTGACGCAGGCTGGGGAAGCTGCCCAAACGTCATCCTGTCAGCTGCCTCGTGGTGGCGTTTCTTAAATACCAGGTAGTTTCTTAAACCAAGAGCAGGAAGATAAAAAGTCATCACTAACCATTTACTTTTCTTTCATACTACAGTCCCGGAGGGCATAAAATAAGATCAAAAGTTGCGCTGGTGGATTATTTTCATAAAACAGGAGAGACCGCTCTAACAGTTGAAGATTTCGATTTTACTACACCGTCCCGGAGCAGTGTCCGCCCACGGGCCAAAAGATGCCGCACAAAAGCTGTGAGGACTGCTCTGCAGAAGGAGGGCTGCCACCAGCAAGGGCAGGACCACAGCATGGAAACCGAGGAAGAACATAAAATCCGTAACGTTCCCATGGGAATTGAGCCACTGGAAGGTGTTTCTGGTACAAGCAGTTGCGGTAGTAAAGACTTGATTATGAAAGAAAGAAAACCAGACGACTGTCTGAAAAATGAATGTAAAGAGACAGCTGGAAAAAGTGTTCGGAATACGAGAACTAGAAGGAGCTCAGAAAAGAGATATTCAGATAATACCCAACCCAAAAGACAGAGAAAAGTATATAATAATCAAGAAACTCTGTGCATTCAAAGCAAGAAATTCTGTAGAAAGAAGAACATATGTGCCTCTAACAGTCAAGGGATAGGAGACCCAAACGCAGACCCTGTGGATGCAGAAGAAAGAAAAGCTCTTCTAATGGAGGAATTCCTGATTTCTGGATCACAGTCAGAAAGTCAGCCAGGAGCAGTCACAGCTCACTTAGAAAAGGAGGAGCCAAAGAACGTGGCTGAGCTGGAGCGTACAGAGAAAGATTTTAGTGAAGCATCTTCCTCAAAATCTGAGAAGACTGATGAATTGGAAACAGGGAAGGAGACAGGTCAAGTGAATCCAGATAACATGATTTTAAATTCCAACACTGAAACAAATGCCAACATTTTGCAGCCTTGCGACAAGAAAATCTTTACAGAAGTTAAAAACGTGCAAGGTATATATGTGTTTTTAAGTAAAGTGTTATTATAACTCTGTGCCACGGTATGCCTGAACTTCATTGGAAAGCGTTCTGTTTCAGAAGGAACAGCTTTGTACTTGAACATCCATCCGATGAAAAATCTGTGTGTGCTCCTATGGGAATCTGTCTCATTTCTTTATCCTGCAGCATTTAACTTAATACAGATTTATTCACAAGTGGAACTTACACTATTTGTCTCTTCAACTTTATGATATAATTAATATAATATAGTGTAATAATCGTTACCTTCCTTGCATTGGCTCTTCTAACACTGCTGCACCACTGGTCAGTCATTGGATCATGAAACAGCCTAGTTTTAGATCATTTCATACAATAGTTGTTTGTAGAGAACACTTAAACCTTGACTGAGGCTGACTAGGTTCCTCAGCCTGTGGCAGTGTTTCTTTGATGAAGAACTGAAATAACTGAAATACAGGTATTGGGGTGAATCCAAAGTACACTTACCTTCTGCACACATACTGGAAATCCTTGTATTCCCATCACAACATAAAGAGGAAATAGCATATGAATCCTAAAAGCAAAATATTTGTTTTTTTTTTTTTCTTTTTAATTGTGACAGAAATAATGCTGAAGTATCATTTCTTTACAGAAGAATTTATTCCACGAACACAAGTGGAAAAGAGGAAAACAAGTCCATATTTTTCAAGTAAATACTGCAAAGAAGGTATAATATTCTTTAGAGGGGAAAAAAAAGTCTATGTAGGGAGGAATACGATGGCTCAAGATCAAGTAATTTTATGGAAAATCTCTTGCAGTTTAGACTGGCTTAGCTATAGCCATGCTCTGTGGCATCAGAGAGCTGGATTTACTGCAGGGATGCTGATCTTGTCCCGTTTTAAACCTTGGTGGTTGGTATCTTGCAAACAACTGTTGTATGTCAGGAGTCGGCAGCTCTTTCAGCAACTCTTAAGAGGATTGAGTGGGTGTGGGAAGGTTCCTCACAGACCTCTGAGGTCTTTGTCTGTCAAGGAGAAAAAGAATTGTACCCTGTGGCTACTGCTGTGGACTTGCAGAAGAAGGCGAGGATAGATTGGGCCCTCTTCTCCAAAAATAGGCATGTCATACATACATTGAAACACAGTGCCACACATGTAGGCGGCCTTTGCCCTTGTTGTAGACTGTGCCAGGGACACACAGCCCTTGCAGTTCTGTAGAAGAGAGTGATGAATTGCCGGTGCTCCATCCACGCTCAGCACCCCCACAAAGAAGAATCTGCTCTGAAAGTTCCACTTTTTTTTTTTCGTTTTAAATAGATTGATCTATCCTTTCCTGCCCAATAACTTCTCCCCTTTGTGTACAGCTCCAAGCCCACCTAGAAGGAAGGCCCGCAGAAAATGGACTCCTCCACGTTCTCCTTTTAACTTGGTCCAAGAAACTCTTTTCCACGATCCATGGAAACTCCTCATTGCAACCATATTTCTCAATAAGACTTCAGGTAAAGAGTAAGACAATTCTGTGTTGTGTAAATATTTGGGTGCTGTTGTCATACGGGCAAGAGAGCTGCCAAAATTTCTATGTCATTAATGAAAGATGAAATGCCTTTTAGCTCGTGTTAGTGTTAAAAAAAACCAAGAATGTTTTAGTCCTAAGCCAGCGAATTTTTGCTTCCAAAAACATACGTAAATAACTGCACAAGAGAATTACCTGCACAGTTTTCTTTTCACACTGATTTCTTTGGCTAGGTAAGATGGCAATTCCTGTGCTCTGGGAGTTCCTCAAGAAATATCCTTCTCCTGAAATAACAAGAACTGCAGACTGGAAAGAAATGTCAGAGCTGCTCAAACCTCTCGGCCTCTACGAACTCAGAGCGAAAACTATAATCAAGTTCTCAGGTAGATTTTCCTTCGTATGATTGTACAATGGTCTAAATTATATTAGCAAAGAAACCCCTAGTTTTCAAACAGTGCTGTGTTCTTATTTTATGCAGCTTTGGGATACATTGGTTTTATGTGTGCGAAGCTGTCCATCCTGCTGCCTTAACTGAGAAAAAAAAATAATGTACATAATGAGTTCTGCAAGAGAGTTCTGTTTAGGAGCGTTCTTTGAGTGGGAAAAAATGTCTCCAAGACTGATTTAGCATTTTCCAACACTGTGATTACATGGCTCTGCTTTGTTTCGTATCAGATGACCTCCAAAAGTCCTTTCCAGCCAATTTTTTTCCAGACGTTTTTTTTCTTTTGAGTCTATACTGTGATACTTCCTGTACTTCCTAGTTTCAATAAAAGCATTCCTTTGTGGATTCTGAGGAGAAAGATTTATTTAAAATTCACCCACAGTGATTTGTTTGAAAGATGTCTTGTGACCCCACAGGGATTCTTCAGCTACTTCAGCTAGGAAATAGCTGTTTTTAATTTAAAGTGTTCTAAAATAGAGGTTGAGGACAATAGCAGAGAGTCGGGATTTTATCTAAACTTGCTTCCTGTGATCCGTTTGTCTGTACATGGTGAAATATGTAACTCTGTGTTCTAGATGAGTATCTGACCAAGCAGTGGAGGTACCCCATTGAACTGCATGGGATTGGAAAATACGGAAATGATTCTTACAGAATCTTCTGTGTCAATGAATGGAAAGAGGTATGTGATGCTGCCATTCTTGCAGGGCTTGATGCATAAGATGCTCAAGGAAGTGGCAGTCTGTCCTTCAGCTTCGTTGGACTTTTACAGACACTTGGATTAATCAAAATTATAGCAAATTTGCATCTTCAATTGATTGAAATTACAGAATATACCTTTTAAGAATCTGATCCTGTAAATCAAGAGCCAACATCACCTGGATTTTTCTGTAATTTTCTGTTTTTCTTTCTTTATAATTTTCTTAATGTAGGGGTGAGATTTTCTTCCCTAGTCTAGCTAAGAATTGAGTTCCAAATATTTAATGTTTAATATTTAAAGCCTAGCATTGCCTCTAGCATCTCTTTTCACTGGGTCCTCACTCTCCTGGCTTATTTCACGGCAGAGGATTTTGAGGGGCACTTAAAGGATCGTTTTGCTGTCTGGTGCCTGACTCTCTTCCTGGTTCAAGAAGATGTTGTTTCATGGCAGTCCAAATGTGATATTCTTTAGCTTATGTGTGCAGAGGCTCAGCTGTGTAACGTGTGGCATCATGCTTCACTGTTACCTGCGAGCTTTAAAAAGGTTCGGAGCTGGGATGGGAAATGTCTTAGGAATACGCTATAGAACTGTAAAGTACTTTAAGTAAAAACATTTTAGTAAATGTTAACTGCCTTAATTATGTTTCAGGTGCAGCCACAGGATCACAAGCTAAACATATATCATGCATGGCTCTGGGAAAATCGTGAGAAACTAAGTATAGGTTGACAACAAACAATACAAATTCATTTACCATCTTGCCATCTATATGAAGTGGATATGCTTAACCTGTTGTTCTGATCATCCAGCTCTTAATCTAAATGTTTGTGTAACATATCACACTCAGGTAATCGTAATAAAATGACATTTAAATTAAAACTTTAAATTTTAAATAAATGTATCAACTTTTTGTAGTGTCTCTTATTATAAAGCTTCATGCACTTAACTGCACTTAACTGAGTCAAAATGAGTTATAGGTAACAACATGCTTCCTAACCAGAATGTTTACTTTGCATTTGTTAATAAGTTGTTTTATCACATCTGATTTACTGCTGTATTTTCCCTTGCGATTTCTGGTTCCTTCTGACTGACTTGTGACTGGATGAATCCACCGAAATAAAAAGGAGCAAGAAGGCCCCGTGTTTGCGGTGTGGGAGTCAAAATGCCGGTTGCTGGCTTTTTCAAAGATGCCCTCGGCAGCGGCCAGCTCTGCCTCAGGGGGCGGGACGTGCCGGCGCTGACCCC